AGTATTAGTCTGTTCAAAACAAAATGATTGTTTTGAATCACGTGTGAAAATGATTGTTATGAACATTCTATACTATGCAGCTACAGTTATTATTTACTGCTAGCACTGTAAAAGTTTCTATATTGGACAGACTTCACTGTAATATTGGATAGACAATTGCTTTTCTCTGATGTTCTCTTTCTCCAGATGGCTGTCTCACGTTATGATGTCATCCTAAATATTACCTCCCTATTCAAATTAAAAAGAATATTTAAAAAATCTATTGCTAACCAGATACTCCATCTTTTTATTTAATTTTAATGAGTAATCTTGTATTTTATTCAGTCTACATGTGGATTACATTTGTTTTATTTTCATTTTATTTTGTCCACTTCTATTTCTTCAAATCTTTTTTCTCTCTCTTTCTTTGTTTCTTTGTTTCTTTGTTTCTTTGTTTCTTTGTTTCTTTGTTATTCTTTCACAGTTGCTCTTATCCCCAGTGTTTCATTAATGATAGGGGAACTGAAAGATACTGCTGAAACTGATCTAAGAAGTTCACCAAAATTGGTATGCACTTTTTCCTCACAGGATTTCACAGAACCATTCCCCAGCTCAAGGCAGGCTGCTCAGGACAGTGTTCACTGGGTTTTTGGCCATCTCCAAGGATGAATGTTCCACAGCTCTTTTAGGGTAACTTGTTCCTTGTTTGACCACCTACAGAAAAAATAAATAAATAAATAAAGTGTGTGTTTGCTTTTTTGTTTGTTCTTTTTAATATGTAATTTGAAATTTCTGTACCCCTTGCCATTAGTCACTGGGCACCACTGAAGAATGCGGCTACTCTTGCAAGAGGTATTTATAAAGATCCTCAGAGCTTCTCTTCTGCTGGCTGAACCAGCTCACTCAGACTTTCCTCTCTCGGATTTTCTTTACACATGAGTTTCCTCACATGCTCCAAGGCCATAATTGTCTTCATAGTCGTTCACTGGCCTGCAGTTCAAAACCCTTTTTTATCATCAGCAAACTTGTGGAAGGTGCACTCTATACCCATCATCCAGTATCAAACAGTCAGGTACGCCAATAGTGACTCGCCTTTTTAGTTGAAGTGATTTTCAGTTGGTGTTCACTTTTCTAGTCTATACTCCATCAGCTTGATAATTAATTCCTGTAGGTTCCATCAATTACTTTTATTCATCTCATAAATCGGAGTAACAAATTATTCTTATTCTTACTCTTACTCTTACTCTTATTCTTATTCTTAATTTATTTTTTTTTTAATCTGCACACAGAGCAAGAATTTCTGAAATTCCTGGTGGTGGTCTCTTTTCCATAGAGATCAGAATTGCCGATGTACTTTGTCTCTTGCTGCGGGTTATTTACTTGTTCGAGGTTTTATTTCTTATCATTATTTCTTCCTCTGTATGCCATTATTTCTTCCTCTGTATGCAATACATTGACTCTTGTACACYTCTTTTATCCCTAGTCCAGGTATGTAGTTAGCTGCCCAATGGATTCTTCTTTGTTTTCAGAAGTCACTGATTAGGACAACTTGCTGTAAGATACCTATTTGCCACATTCTGATAATATACAGGGCTTCCGAGAACTCCTCCATGTATTACAAAGTGGTTGCCATCACCTCTTCAATCAGCAGACTGAACTGCCTCTATAAATGCTTCAATTCATTCCAGTCCAAAGAAGCCAGATTAGCTTAAGGCATTTTAAAGAGCCGCTTTTGCTAACCAGGGTCTTTTTACTTGAAACGAGTTTCAAGAGCATTCATGTCACTGCCTGAGAGCGCAGTAATTTCTTTGGAGGGCACAAGTGGAAGGGCAGAAGTACATGATTGTGGCCTCATATTAGTGTAGAGATCATCATCAGATCTCCTCCAAATGTTCTTCAAGTTCTGTACCATCTAGTACATGCAATTGCTCATTGGCTACCTGTTAAGCTTCTGTTAAGTCTGACTCTCTCTGCTTTTAGATTTGTTTCTTTAAATTAAATTATTTCTATTTTTCCTTCAGTCTAGTATTTCACTCCTCTTGCTGTCATCTGTGTCCTTAATCTCTGAGTAACTTCTCTTGCTCACAGGTGTCCCATTTAAAAAGATTATTCGTCTTTTTATCATTTCATATCACTAGTCATTGTGACACTCTGGGCAGCAACAATTTCAGCATACAGTGCTATGCGACAGGATTGTACTTTAATTCTTAGTTTTCATTATGTCACAGTATTTTTGGCTAATAGAGAAAACAGTAGGTCATACTGAAGTTACACTGTGCCTTACAGCATATTCCCCTCAGAGAGAAATTAAAAAGTTAAGATGTGAATTAAACATTTATTTCTAAAGCTCATCTGTGTATGTATGTTTTTCCATTAAGTTCCTATTAGCATACTTTGCTTTTCAAGATAAATTAAATTTACAGATTAGAGAAAAATAATTTTGGCCAAATTGAGAAGTGGTCTATCATGTGCTACAAGTTAGAGTCCATTAATGTTAATGTGGATTCCATTAGACCCACTTATGACAATTCAATTAATATTTAAGGAAACCCCTGCAGGTATAACTTATGTGTAAAGAATTTGGGTAACTTCCCCATAGGAAAGTGGAGGAAGCTATTTTCCCTAAGATGCTTGTCTCATTAAAGCCAAGTGAAAAATATGATTGTAAAAGAAAGTCCCAGTCCTCCAAAAGCATTCGCTATTAAGTTTGTGATAATATAATATAGGAAAGTGTTACTATATATGTACCTTTATGTTGGTATGCATGCATGTGAAATATATGCATAAATAAATGTGTTTACTTATGTGGAGCGAGGAGCAGAATCTCCGGGATGGCGAGCCAAAGACCTTTATTAAGCATCAAATAAAACTTACATATTGTGCTGTCCCAGACACAATAGCTTATTTACCCAAAAGCATGTAAAGCACAGATACTAAATAAACCAATAATCTAAAGGGTTACACCTAGACTATCCAATCAGCTTCCTGGCCACACAGCAGCCGTACAGTTTCTTCTGTTGCTTGTTTGCTTATAGAATCTGGACTGCCATCCTTGACTTGAGGTTGGTTATCTACTAACAAGGCGTCCTGTACTACTCCTTGTTTGCTGATAGACTGCTGCCCTGGAAGCAGGCCTCAACATCCCCAAATATATCTTTAGACATATATATAAATATAGCATAAAATAAGAATAGAAATAACTGTATTTTTACTACTCTTGAGGCTTTTTTAATATATAGAAGAATTCTTTATCTACAACAATTAGATGTGAACTAATAATGATTGTTGGATTACACTGCTAAGATTTCAATTATATCAACAGACAATTCTTGACTGTATGTTTAAAGTGTATTTCCTCTATGTCCAGAAAAATAATTTGGAGCATAACAACATTCAAATGTACAAACAAACACACCTACATTTGCAAAGTGCTCTAGACTCTTAATTTCTGATCAATTCCAAAGGTTGAACTGTGCTTGACTCACCCCTACCTCTTCATGAACTCTTGATCTTTTCCTCTCTCCTGTTGTTTTCTCGTTCTAGAGAATGGGTACATTCCTGCAAATACTGTAAAGCTGCCCATGAATATATAGATTTATGATGCTCGTGACTTGGAATATTTGTCTATCTTACTGTTGTGAAATTGTTGCCTCTCCTCTCAGTCACTTTCACAAGGGGCACAGGTGTCTGCTTTTTTGTTATTAAATGCAGAGATGAATTATGATAGTAGGTATTCAAGTCAGTTTGTGATTTCAATTTGAAATTCCTTCTGGAGGTTGAGCTGTGTGAGTAGATTCTAATCTGGCCTGGAGCATGGTCATTTACAATTTTCCCTGTCAGCAGCCTGAACCTACAATCAAAATAGTAAAAATTATTGGAATGATTATACGCATATGTTTTTAGATTGCATTGAATGCAATCTAAAAACAGCAGGAAATGAGGAATTGTATCAATAGTTTTTTCTAACTAGCTAAATGAGGATTGCTTCCAACATGCATTTTTTTACATTTAYTATTTTACATTTGCCTTTTTAATAATGCTTTGACCAATTATCTTCTATTTGTCGGAGAGTTGCAGGTATTGTTTTATGATGCTAAGCATACTTGCCTGTTTTCCTTATTCTATTATACCAGATCTTTAGAGAGTACCATTGTGCTCTCTATTACATATTTCCAGGCTTGTGAGAAATAGAATTACTTACACAGTGGTTGATGCTCATAGTTACAGGAAAGGTATCATATGTGATCTCTAAAGATAACGTTAGCATCATGGTCACCAGGAGCTAAAACACCAAGTGGTAGCTGAATGATAAACCAGATGTGACAAGGTCCCTTGCGACTCATTTACTGTAAATGACTGTAATTTTGTGACTCATCTAACTATATACAACTACATCTCATGCAATGCAGTAGACCATCAGCTCCATATGTGAAAGAGTTAGTTGCATCTCTGTTAAGAATGAGAAGGAAAGAACTGTGCAATTGTAATATAATACAAGACTAACATAGTGCTAATAAACAGCCAATTTAGTATTCTATGAAAATCCATAGTAGACTTAAACTATTTTTAATGATTAAGCAAGCTGCCATTTTCATGAACTTTCACCTGCCATGTAATGTGATTAAAATGAGCTTTATGTTTTCTGTTTATGCCACTTCTAGGGAGTTTTTCCATTCACTGATGCTGGATCAGGCAGGATGTCTGGGGAGATGCATCTTCTGCCTTTTTACCCCAGAGCTCAGCTGCAGACAAAAATCCTATAAGGAGGTTTGGGTGTTCTATCTTGTTTAATAACTCTAAATCTCCCTAGGGGAGCAAAATATAGTAGAAAGGGATCAGCTAATTACAGCTAATTGAATTAGCCTAGAATGAGTGATTAACATAATTAAGATAGCCTGGTGACTGGTACTTCTATGGGAGGCATGTGTGATTGGATGTAGGAGGTGAAAAGAAGTATTAAAAGAAATATGGTAGAGCAATCTAACTACAGTTTTAATAGATTCTTTCTTGGCAAATATGTGTAAGGAAAAGTAGACAGGATTGTTTTTAAGCATGTAATGGCTGTAGGTAAGGCAGGTTTTACAGAAAGAAGGAAGATTGGAGGTTAATGCACTGGAAAGCTTGTGGTGTACAAGTAATGTGAAAGAGGTAAGTATACATGAGTTGCTTAGTAACAGAGAACGCGGGCTAGAAAAAAAGTTTACCTGTATATTARTGGAAAGGAGAGCAGATATAAATACTGAGTTATGTGCTGTTTTTGTTTGGTATTGCTATTCTTAATAAGTAGTTTGGGGTTTTGTTTTGTCTTTGTTTTAATTTCTCTCTCTCTCTTTTCCTCTCATTTCCCCTATCCAATACAGAATGTTAGCTTATGTTATAAAAGACAAATGTGTTTGACAGTATACCTTCTACCTTTAGACAAAAATGAGATTGCTTGTTCTCTATACCTCTTTTGCTGAGGTCTTTGAGAGTAATATAGTGAGATATAGATAGTGAGATATAGATATATATAGAGATATAATGAGATAAAGATATATGGAAAATTAAATAATAATAAAAAACAGAACAACATAGTAACATTTTTTTGATGCAAAAAGAATTTGAGGTCTCTTTCTAGTCATATAAAAAAAGGTTTATATGTATCTGCTCTATGCTTATTCTGATCACAGACTATCTCAGTGACAATGCAGAAAACACTATCCTAATTGGAGAAGGTAGTAATCCTCCCCTCCTAGCCTCCTGATTCCCRAGAACTTAAAAGAGCTATATGAAAGGATTTGTGAAAGTTAGAGAAAGGAAAAGAGACTTTAATCTCTGCATTTTTTTTCTAAAGCAATGGGGACTTTTCAYCTTCAGAGACAACAGGAAGAGGCCAGAATGTTTCAGAAGAGCATGTCTGAACTTCTACCATAACTCGTAGGAGTTTCCTGGGTAGTTCTTCCAGGAGTAAGCCTATGTTTAGCCTCTTTGTGTATTGGTCTGAAAAGTTTTTAAATGAGCTATTCATTTGTTTATAACACAAAGTATTCTAGACAGTTATTACAAGAAGATAATTTTAAAATAAGGAATAATTCATGTTGCACAGTAAAATTAGAAACACACTATGATCTTATTTTTTGTTTGATTTCTTTAAATGAAGAAGAACTGTCACAGAAAAAAAATATTTTCAGCATTATCACCTCATGTAATTCTTATGATGTTTCTTTACTTCTCTGATAGAAATTGGCTCAAGCATAATTAGCAATCTTACTCTTTCTCTGGAAGCTGAAAAGGTTTGCTGCACAGGTCTCTCTCTAAACATGCTAAAGATGCTGACTTCCTCAGCTATTACTGTTCATCTGTTTCAAAAAGCTGGTTTAATCTCCCCAGAGTCTGAGCCTCTCTGCTTTCTTACAGTGTGACTAAGACAAAATCAAAGGCACCATTACAGAGTGCATGAGGAAAACATCCTTCCTATCACAGAAGCTACTGCATAATAAATCTTTAATATGAGAGCTAACCCATCAATTCTATGCCTATTCCTGAAGCATCATTAAAAAGAGTAAGGGGATTATATTAGAATAGTAGAATTAAAGTGCTCTTTCTATTCACAGAGGTGTAACACATGCCTACTGTGAAGATACCATTAGGTCCAAAATGGAAACCATATCCATGGACTCAAAGATTTAACAGGTCAGAGGATTAAACCTATACTTTTATTTTCATTAGCATAATATAATTTTCATTAACTATATGGTAGTAATAATGAATGCATGGTTCCGCTATTCAAAACAAGAAATTGCTTGGAAAAGCTTGCAGGTTTTTTTTTTTTTCATCTTTGCATTTCTATAGCACCAATATAGAATATGCTCTATGCTCAGTAAGACTATCATTTCCACTTTTAGGAGGTACCCAAATAAATGCTTTCTGTAGTCCCTGGAAACAGATCCACAGCCATACTGATGGAGTGGATATTTGCAGGTGCAGTGTATGCCAGTCAAGTATGCAGCATAGTCATTTCTGTTACAACTAAGTTTATGTATTAGCTTAAATTTACTGAAGTTATAGTGAATATAGATTTTAATCCACTCTTCATAAAGATGCTATGAAAAATTTTTATATATTTCATATATATATATAATATACACACACATATATATATTTCTATTTCAGTGACCTTCCTACAAATAAAAGTTCAAAGTATTAGAATGACTATTCGAATGAAGCCTTAATTGTGAAGCAAGGGACAAGTATTTAAAAAAAAATAAAATAAAAAGACGATGATGACAACACTAAACCCGGAAAGTGATTTGATATCTGTTTTGGTGATCAGCTGCTAAAAAAGCCTGCACTTAGATTTTTGGTGAGAAAGAATTCAATAGTCCATTTAAAAGTTATATTACTGTGAAGTTTATATTTCTAAAATTATTAAATGTATTGCATGTACTAAAAATACAGCATTCTTAGAAATTATACTTCTAGTACTTTCATACAGAAAAATATCCTTATAGATATTATAGGCTTTGATATAAAAGAATTCTCATACAACAGTGAAAGTTGAAATATGAAGCAAGAAATATTTAATGGTATAGCTGTCATTTTCTGAAACTTATTAATCAAAATTCATATATTCATTTTTTTCAGACATATGCATGTTCAATAAAGTGGTAATAATCAGATTTGGCAGCAAACAAGCTGGATTTTTATAAAAGCCCAAACTCTTCATGACATAGCTACCAGCTGTACCGAACTTTTTTCAAAGGTTCATCTGTTTTCCCTCAGGAAAAGCCTAGGAAAAGAAACAGACCTAGTGGGATGACCTAAAGTCAACAGATCTGGTCTTCTGCAAATTGAATAACTGTACAATACTTTGCTTTAGTGGCTCATAATCACAATATTTTCCTCCAACCATTATAATTCCATTATAATTTAAAAGGGAAATGATGAGAAAGTAAAAAAAGATGATAAGCATTTTTATAAGTGAACCATTAACACTTAAAATAAAATTAAAAATGACTTTTCAACCACATAATTTGGGACATTCTGAGTTGCACGAGCATCTTGATGCATTTAAATTGGAAGTCTTCATAAGAGAGGCTGAGTCTTAGAAGAGAGAGTATATCTTTCCATTTTCCTCGGATAGTATATTTTTCCATCTTGCCATTAATTTCCATGGAAGACCACCTCCTCATGTATTATTGTCATGCTATCTTGAAAAGTACTTAGTACGGAAACCAGAAAAATAGTGAGTTATTTTCTAATTGTATTGTAACTCTTAGCTCAAATCAATGAGTTAAACATTAACATTAGGTCTGAGTTTCACCTGTAGCTTCAGGATGTCTACACTAGAAAAGAGAAGAGTTGAGATGTCATCTGCTGTCCAATGACTTCTGACCTCTTCCAAGGACTTCTAAAACTCTTCTGTAAGTAAAAGCTGGATCACAAAATAACTTTGGAAATCAAATGTCATGTGCGATATGGGACAGTGAAGTTTATGGTTTCATTCTGATAAATTATAAGCAAATATAAAACTGATGGAAGCAAATGATTTGAGAAATAGACTTGAAGTCTTTTTGCAATTCTTTAAAAATGCTAGCTATAAGAGTTACACTGGGAAAAAAAAAAATTGGTGCTATAGAAAATGATACAAGGAGAAAGGTGGCCTAACTTAAAAACAAATGGAGCAAAAAAAAATAAATCAAACTAATTACAATAAAGCTTTGAAGACTTAAAAAAAAAAAAAAGATAACAGTTGAGGTATACTGTAATTTAGACATGAGAAGATGAGAACCTAGTTTTTCTCTTTATCTTTAAAAGTCTCAGAATCCCTTTCAAGCTTTTTTTCTTTTTTTTTTTTTCTTTTTTCTCATCTAAACTACAGCTATTCTAACTGTTAAATATACAATTGTAGATCTGTCTCTAAGGTTAATGAAGCAATTTAAAACTACTTAATACTAACATTCTTACATGGCTCTTGAATTAATCCAACCATGAACTGAGAAAGCAAATTACGCTCTATGATGCAGTTTTATTTTATAATACACGCATTTTCAATTTTAGTAATAATATCAAATTCATTTTTTCATCATGCTACTTTTACACGTCTTGAGAATCTGAAATCCTCCAGCTGCTAACTCTGCTTCAGCCCATATCATTACTTTGATAGATCTTTAAAATTGACTTGGATCAGGCATAACAATTTGTGAAAAGAGAGCATTGAGGGCATATGTACATAYACACGCGCGCACACACACATGCATATATACACATGCTTGTGTATTTACACAAGAAAAAGGTTGAAACCTAATACAGACATCTCTTCTTTAAAGAAAGATTCATGTTTAAACATATTTTCCTCTAAACTTAAAATAACACAGTTACTGTTGTTTGACTTATAGTATGAGTTAGTTTAAGCTATGCAATGCAAATGTATAGCATACGAAAATTATATTGCTGAAAACACTCTTCTTTCAGAAGCACTGTGTTCCACATAGTTAAAGTTAGTTTTAAAGCTTTATGTAGTCTGGTGCTCTTATATAATATTGTGAAGTGTGCTCAATGCTAGCACAGATTATCTAAACTACTACTTTTCCAGTTTTAAGAATATTCTTCTCCTTCATTGCACAGGATGCATTCAGTGTGTTTTTCTCACTGAACTCTGGGTTTTCACAGAATATGCACTCTGCTGTGCTCACTCACAGCAGATGTCATAATGTCAAAGAGCTGTACTCTTAGCAGAGACATGCCAAACAATCTCTATCTATAAAAATCTCATGATTGCTCAGAAACAGAGAGGGATGCTAATATAAATAAAACTGTTCTGTTAAATCTCCAGAAATATGCAATAGTTACCAAACTCCTGCAGAGTGAAGACTCACTGAAGACTCCAGATACTCTGGTGAATCTGCCACAAATCTTGTCTGGCATCCTGGGCTTGAGGGTAATTTACCTTTTGAATTGAGCTCCAACTAAAAATTTCTTTGCAGAAAGTTAAACCAAGAAGAAAGTGGAAGTGAGTCTTGAAATTCCCACATTGCCATTCAGAGAGTTCATTATAAAATACAGCTGGTAGTCACAAGCATATACTTCATCTGGTACAATACACTATGGTTTTAATTCAATACAGTAATGAGTTAACTGATGTCAATATAATTGCTGTAACGGATTTCTTACTGTATGCTTTCTACAGAATTTATAGAACTTGATTCTTAAGTTAGCTATTAATAGTCCCCCAAAAAAGCTTTTGCTACTTGTATTTGATCAAGTGAATAAATTGCAGTCCTCCTACTTGAAGTTCTGTGCCTGTGTCCAAATAGGTGCCTTCCCTGACTTGCAATTTATTTAGCATATCTGAACTAATTAAAATACACCTTATCTAACTACATTATTATGTCTGGGAAGTAATTTTATAATATCAATAAATGAGTTGCCATCCAGGCATCCAATTAAAAATTCACTTTAATGCTGAAATTAATTTTCAGAATGAAAATAAAACTGCTGATAGTCTTCTTTAAATGAGTGCTTCTGAAATAAAGTATTCCATTAACCTTACTTTAGACATATGTTTTTCTCAGATGAAACTTTGATAGTTAAATAAAACCTGTTAAGGAGAAAGAAAACTTTGTGACATTTAAACAGGTCCTTCCTTTTCCTAGATACTTGCCAACTCCACCTTATTTAAAGCAGGCCGTCTAAAATGAATGCTGCTTTCTGAGTAAGGAAGAAATCCAGAAATTCTAAGCGTATAAAATTTAATCCAGAAAATATCTTGATGATACAAGTGTGATGTTATTCATGACATGAATATATGTGAACTGCTTGACATACTCTTTGACATCATTATCAAAGCTGTTACCTAATATTAGAAACTGCACCTACTTCTGTTCTATTTTCTAATTTTTTTCTCAATAAACAAATAAATCTTCCTCCATGTATGACTTGACTGTTTGAGTAGGTTTTGTTCTGACATGACTCAGGACAGGATGTTGGGATGTCTGAGTTAAAGCAGAATGCTATACATAAACTCTTGTTTGTAATTAAAAAAAAAAAAAAAAGAAAATTCTGGATAAGTAAATTCTTCCATATGATTATACCAATTAGACAATTACAGGACCATTAAAGTTCAGAGCAGATCTAGTAGATAAAGCTATTTGTTTTCTTTCTCTTTATAACCACTGAGCTAGGTTGTCTAAAATTTGTAAATCCCTTTCTATGATCTGATCCACTAGAGAAGTATTCCAATATTAACTTTCTCCTTCGAGCAAGACAGGAAAGTAACAGCGACACAACGTTTGGAGTAACTAGGAATAAAGTTTGATAAAATGAGCACGTGCTAAAAATCTTTGCAGAACTGTTTCTAAAGAAAATAAATGAATTGGAAAGATCTGATATTAAATAACTTTTTAATTTATTGTAGTTGAGAATGTAAAGAAGATGAGGCCAARCTCTTCTCAGTGGTGACCAGTGATAGGACAAGGGATGATGAGTACAAGTTGAAACACAGGAGGTTCCATCTCCATGTGAGGAGGAACTTCTTTCCTGTGAGGGTGACAGAGCCCTGGCACAAGCTGCCCAGGCAGGATATGGAGTCTCCTTCTCTGGAGGTCTTCCAAACCCACCTGGATGTGACCTCATGAAATGTGCTCTAGGTGTCCCTGCTGGAGCAGGGGGGTTGAACTAGATGATCTCTAGAGGTCCCTTCCAACCTCAGCCACTCTATGATTCTGTGATATTCCAAGAGGGACTTTGTAAGGTTGATGGGAGGCTTGGTCTTATAGCAAGTCTTCCAAGAAACAAGTCTTACATGAATAGAAACAAGTCTTACATGCTTTCCTCTTGAGGAAAGCATTTCTGTACCGCTGGCTCAGTGTTTGAATACTATACAAATGGTGTTTTTTTGTAGAAAAACTAAAAATGGAATGGGGTGTAATTACATGAAATTCTATGAGTTGACAGACTTTGGCCTTCGTACATGAAAAAATGACTTGAAGGAGCTTGAGGTTGATAATCAAAGAAAAAAAGAAAAAAAAAGGAAGAGGCAGAAAAGCAAATATGAGGTTAAAGTACAGAAAAACACAAACTAAAAGTCAAGGGCAAAACAGATGAGGTTAAAGGAATTGCAAAGAGTGAGAAGGGGGTGGTGGGAGAAAGAAAGAAAGAAAGACAGGATCCTCAATTGGGAAGTTAAAGGAATTGATAAGCAGGGATCAGGAGATATGCCTGAGGAAACAGAGCAAGAGAGTTTTATTAGAAAGAAGATAGCARAGAAAGGTCTGAAAGTCTAATGTCAGAGAGACCTCCATTAAAGGACTATAGGGGGACAAGGGGCAACACAGAGACCGAGTCATAAAAAGCAGTTTAGGGAGAGAAGGGTTGTGATGGTCACAGCTGAGACAAATTGGGTTGGGGAAAAAAATGTGCAAGGCCTATGCTTAAATGAGAAAGGGACAATGAGAATCAGCTACAAACTGAACTCTAAGGAAAATGTACAAAATGGGGCAGTAGAGGAAACAATTTCAAAAAATGAGCACAAATGAATGTCCAGAGCTTCTTAGAAACAGTGATTTGGGTTTTCTATAGGGCACATTTTTCAATATATCCTATCCTCCTAGAGTCCCTTGGGAACATAAAAGGATTCATAAAATGGTAAGTCAGAAAGGCACTTCCAGAGGCACCCCAACTTAAGCAAGGTTAAATACAACGGGTTGCTCAGGTGTTCTTCTAGCGTCATCCCAGTATGTCTGAACACTGCCTCTGTATTCCTGCTGGGTGACCTGTCCCTGTTTGAATTTAGCCAAGAGCTTCTTGAATATCCATGTGGGCATCCTGACAGCTTTGCTTTCTTTTTATTGAGATGGACCACTCTAGAGATTGCAGAAGGTGAATGTTGAAAATCAACCAGCCTTCTCAGACCTCTCTTCTTCTAGGTCAATATCCTATTGGATTCTTCCAAGCAGATTCCYGAACAGATCAAAGTTTGTTTTCCTGAAGGCCAGGGWTGTGATCCTGCTTTTCTCCTTGTTTCTTCCTTTCAGGATCCTGAAATTCAGCATCTCACAGTTACTGTAGCCAGTATTGCCCCCTGACCACCACATTCCTCTTCCTTTTCTAGAACCAGGTCTAATAGAGCACCTCTTCTCAACAGCTCCTCATTCATCTCTAACAGGAAGCCACCATCAATGCACCTTAGAAACATTCAGGATTCTTTGTGTTCTTGTATGTTGTCCCTCCAGCAGGTGTCAGAGTGGCTAAAGTCTCCTTAGAGGACCAGTGSAAGTGAATATGCGGTTTGAGCTGTCTGAGGAAGGCCTCATCTTTTTCTTTTTTCCTTTCCTGACACCCACAACAACATTGTCCATGTTGGACTTCCATCTGAAGTGGCTTCGCTCAGCTTCATCCAAGCTGAGCCACAAGCTTTCAGGTAACTCGTCATCTGCCCTTCAGCAGAGTTCCCTGTATTCCTGCTGTGATGTTACAGACAGGGCAGCTCCCTGTCCTCAACCTCCTGCCTGTCCCTCCTAAAGGGCCTTTATCCATTCATTGTGGCAGTACTGTCACCTTAGCTATCCCTCCACACAATCCTCTCTGTGATCCCAATAAGATTGCAGCCCTGAAGCTGTATGCAAGCCTCTAATGTCTCCTGTCTGTTCCTCATGCTACATATCTTACAGAGGTGCTTTTACCGCTGCATATACTTATAGAGATGGATATACTTCTTTCATGCTAATTTCCAAGAAGATGTATTAGAGCTTTACCATGATACTGCCCTGTAGGCAGTCCCCTGCTTATGTGCTTACGTTTAAAGGCATCCCCCTTCAGCCTTGTACTTTTTATCATGAGGTCTCTTTTCAACCAACCTCATCCCTCTTGCCTCCCATCCTGGTTGGTTGTTTCTTGGCAGTATCACAGATGCATATATAAGAGCTCCCCGGGTGCAATAGTCATAGGGCCAGACAAGTCTCAGAARACTCCACGATAATTAGCAGTTTGCTCTGGTGAAAAGATGAAAGGTAACTGTAGCTGAAACATTTTAGAATATCAGAGGCAAAATAGCCAGCACTAGCTATAGCAGAAAGGTTGTGGTAGCAGCCTGAAGTAGAGCTGCACAGATCAGCCTGATAAAACTGATAAAAGATGTTTTTCCACCTCAGGGATCCTCTGAACAGAGATGCTGGCTCTGGCAGCAGCCTGGAGAAACTCCTGCTCACACGGCTGCCTTTCAGCAGCCAGAGAGCCACTGGGGACCAAGTTAGGAGTCATGATTCATCTTCCCCTTGTAACTGGAGCTGACAGGACGTGCATGGCTTTCTGGCTGCATTGCAGAGCACTTATTCTCACTGTGCTCCCTACGTGTCCACGGGAAGCCACAGTGGGGACCTTGCCCTGCTCTAGAGTCCCAAGTACTGGACACAGCCTGGGCCACTCATGGGCAGCGATGGGGGCAGGTGTGCTGGTAGATGCTCTTCAAAGATATGTGCAATTAAACATATATATAAAAAAAAAAATCAAAAAACAAACAAATGCTTTCGGTTGTAGAGCAATGCTCTGATGTCAGTGCTATAACTTGAACCCCAAATTACTCTTGTAGTTTGCTAACAAAACAATCATGATTGTTTGTTTAATGGTTCCAGAGCATTTTTAAATGAGATCTGAAAGTTACCATGCATTTTTATTGCATTCATGTCTTTAAAATATTTTTATTGTAGCTTCTTTTTTTCAATATTTTTTATTGCTGCTGTTGTCTTTGATGGAAACACTGTTATTTAAAAAAAGCTTATATTTTGTGGTTTAAGAAGTATTTTTGTATTAATTACCTTGCTCTGCTCTCTGATTAGTTAGACTGAATAACAGTGCCATCTGCTGAAAGGTAGTAGTGACTTACAGGGAGAGTTTACAGACCATTGTGATTTACTAAGTAGAGCATAAAGAGAGAGATCAAAAACAAGAGGCAATGACAAAAGCAAATGCGGGGAAAAAAAAGAGATATAGAGGTACAGGGAGTTATCTTGAATAAAAGGAGGATGAAAATAAAAAGAAGAAAACTTTGAAATTAAAGAAAGCAAGTAGGTAGAGACAGAGAGCAGCATGGTTGTCACGACAATATTGATTTGGAATTTTAAAAAATGTGACATCTTAGATTCATTGAAGTGACCCTCTTTTGGCAAATTCCTACATACTGCATCACTTCAATGGCAGTGACCTGCCCATATGAGTAATCTGCAGGATCAGCTTTTGCAAAAAATTACATATAAAAACTTTTCATCAAGTGAGA